ATAATAATATTATCTAAAGTATTTTACATTTTATAAACCTGCCCCTCAAGTATATAAACTGGTGTGCTGCCTGCTAAAGTGGAAATTAACGATGGCAAAACTCAATTGTTAGACTTAAGTGTAAACATTTACAACACACACATCTATTGAGATTCTCTTTCTGTTCTCAATTTTAGATATTATTTTATCTACTTAGATGCAAAGTAAGACTTTACTTACACCAAATTTTGAGCTCAGTTTCTTTGCATTAAAAATTTCACAGAACAAATAATTTGAAATTTTATGCCCTTTTTTATGTATAATATAATGCTAAATATTTGATTTTTTTAAACATTATTATTATTTGTTTTGTTTATATAATTGGGAAATACATTTTGGTATATGAATCTGTTCATTGTTTGCCATGATCATCAATTATTCAAATGATTCCTTTTACAGGACTGTCCTCAATGTCGGGTAGTGCTGGAGCCCGGAGAAGTGGCAGTGGTTGCTCCGAAGCTGGGGCCACAGACTGCCTGGCATCCAGCATGCTTTATTTGCTGCAGCTGCCAGGAGCTTCTTGTCGACCTCACTTACTGTGTGCATGATGACCAATTGTACTGTGAGCGTCACTATGCTGAACAACTGAAACCTCGCTGTGCTGCATGTGATGAGGTAAGTAGTATACAACCTAGGGGATGATGATCATGATGTTGAGATATTTTGTTGTGTTATTGTTCATACTTTGAACTTCAAAAGAACATCCTTTTTTAAATTACAGATTTACTTACTTATTGTTTGTTAGTTTATATGTTTCAAGTGTAATTAATTTGAGTAATATATAATAATCATAAGACTCAGGAGCAGGTGGAGGTGTGTTGTTACACTGCAAACTGGAACCGAATTACAAGCCAAAATGTTTAATTAATTTTCTTTGATAATAATTACAATAAATGTATAACCAACTTTTTTTTATTGCTCTGCCATTTGTGGACACAATTTAATAGTACCACTTACAGAAATTAATGAAAAATATAAAATGAGAGCCATTAGACTGTAATATTTCAATTTTTGTAAAAACGTGGAATAGGACAATCTAATCCCAATTTTACTCAAGGTTAAATTTTTTCTTCATGGAAGGTTTTTTAATTCGTACATGATGGCCTTTTTCTTTACAACTTTTGGTATCTTACATTATTTAAACTTACTTCCTGTTTTGTTGAACGGAACAATACCATACATATTAAAGATTTTTTAGATTGTAAAAATGAGCATTCATATCCAATATTTCAAACAACTCGGTAACTCTGATCAACAGATATGGAATAATACATATGAAAAATGCACAGAATTGGAGGCATAGATCCATTTTTTTAAATGTAGATTGCTATATATATGAACATATTCAAAAGTGAGTAAGAATGTAAACATTTTTACAAATATATGCAGAGTGCAGAAGTCGGATATTAACTTCGGGAGTTTTTAGTTAAAATAATGAAGTTATCATAGTAATACCATGAGTAGTTTGGAAATTGTTGATAAATTGACTTGCGAAACATGGAGAAGATTTATCTGAGAATTTCCAAAGCACGAATGGTAGGACAATTCCACAAATTAAATAACACCCAAAAGAATTCCAAATTGTTCCAAGTATTGAAAATAACAGAGAGCATGTTAAAATCAAAGAGTCAAAAAAGGAGGAGGATTTGATTTTATAATGATATATTTTTTGTTCATGAATGTGAAATATTT